AATGTTTTTAAATTTTCAGAAAGGAAAATGCACTAAGCAAGTGGTAGGGAAAGGCACAATTGGTAAATGGCCCATGATAATAGCAAAATATTTAAAATTAGGAAATCCAACCGATTATACTGGTCATTCATTCAGACGTACTTCAGCTACGCTTTTGGCCAATAAAGGGGTGGATATTTTAGGATTAAAAAGACATGGTGGCTGGAAATCTTCAGCCGTAGCTGAAAGCTACGTTGAGGACTCACTGCAAAACAAAATTGAGTTTGCAGGAAAAATTTTACATGGCAATACTGATTCTTCTTCAGCAAATTCCACGTCTGTATCATGTGCAACATTTTCAGTTAATGCGAACGATCCTGACAAAGCCACATTCCCTATTACTATTAAAAATTGTGATAACTGTACGTTTAATTTTAATGTTAATAAATAAAATATTTGTGTATTCTTTTTTTTGTATAGTTTTTCATTTTTATTTCTGGATGATCTAGGATAAATTTCCGAACATGACTAATATTACTTACCGTTCTAGAACGGTAAGTAATTCACTTACCGTTCTGTCAGCCTTGCCAACCAGTAAATACAACATACCGACGTCAAAACACTGTCGGTAAATAATCAAAATAGTCAAGTCGTACAAAAATAATTATTTCAGGGCATTGGAATATCAAAACATGAGTACTTATATAAGTGGAAAATATAATTAATATTGTTATATTAATATAAATTATACTGTGCGTTCGTAATTTAGCAGATAAAAACAATAAAAGAGTGAATATTTTTCGAAAAAAAGCAGTTTTAGAGACGTAAATACAAATGCATACTATACGCTACTATACGAATAAGGACGTTAAACAAATATAAAGAACATTAAAATACAAGTTTCGTAAGACGTCATTTTATCGCACGAGGCAAGTTTTCTAAAGGGCGAGTGCGATAAAATGTCTTATGTGGTAATACAATGTAAAATTGTCAATGCTTTCAATTTTTCATGTAGAAAAGGCTCGCGCTGCCAACATAGTTACTGAATTTTTGACTTGGGGAATTATCTTTAAAAAAAAAAAAAACTTTAGTTAGAGTCCGCGTCAAGAGTAAAGAGTACGGTGTCGTCATATGCGCACAAACCCAATTTTGAAGACTAACCGAACTATCGTATCGATCGGTGCTGCTGCCGAACGCCAAGCACGTGGTTCATTGTCGTACGGCCAGCAGGCATATTTATTTAGTTTATTTTCTATCCAAGTTTTGTCTAAAAAGATACCCCGCTGCTGGTTTCAGCTCACGGCCGAGGTCACGGCAGACAGCGAGAGATAGACGAGGGAGAGAGATCCGACCCGCTTCGCGCAGCTTTTTATGTCGTCACCGTAGTCTTTACTGCTGACGCGGACTCTACCTATTATGGTATGTTAAACGTCATCACTGACGTCATTGTAAGGATTGGTCTCAAGAAAAAACTGTTCTTACATCCACTTTTCCTTTTATTTTAATTTTACAGCGTATTAAATTATCATTAATTCTTATATGGATAATCCTCTGGCATAAAAACACTATTCATTTTTTAACTAATATAGAAAATATACTATGCAAATGCACTTCTTCCAGAAATTTTCTTGCTTGAACAAAATTCGGACCTCGACGCCACAGCAACCAGCAGTGTAACAGGCAATGTTGTCAACTTGCCGAAATATATTGTTCAGAGGACTCTTAATTTCTATATGGTGTATAAAAACACAGAGTTGTGAGTTTTTAACTCATAAAATACCTAAGTAAATTAATAATTGAAGTATTTTTACTTTTATTTTTATCTAAGTCTGGACGAATTAACATTAACAAGCGAATTAATAAAATACAGAAAGTTTGAAACATAAAAAACTTATAATATTATATCTATACTATCCAATAAAGGCATTAATTTTAAACATTATGTGAATGCAAATCTGTCCAGAGGGTCCAGGGTAAGTAACACCCGATAAAGAAACTCTCCGTTGCGATATCGGGTGTTACATTCAAATTTGCGAACGTGAGCCAAATGGGTGTTACTTACCTCCCATAGATAGAAAATATTCCAGGCAGCGTGGATCGAAGGCTTACTATACTAGCATGCCCGGCCAAAAATATACTGTTTCAATAATTTTAGTCGGTTTTACTTTTAATTGAAAAAATATAAAATAATTAAAAATTAGTCAAGTAATTATGAAAATTTTGGGGGTTCTGCAGCTCTGCAGCCCTTATGCACCAGCCGCCCCTGTGCGAACCTATGTTTCTATCAACTTTTTTCTTTTTTTAATGAGTACCTACTATTTATCCTAGAAGTTTGATCCCACTATTTATTAACACCCTGTATAGGGAATCCTATTTAAAATAGGGCGATATGGGCTAGTTGACATTAAAACTTCCGGTACCTATAAACAGAAGTGCCGCAATCTTCGCGGCAGCTTGTCGTACTCGTATATCAACTTCATCATGTCCTAAAAATTATTTAAATTATTTAAAATAATTTTGCCTTCAATTTACTCCTACATTTTTTCAAATCTCATATTTACATTTACATCATACAAATGTGGGTGTATGCGCATCAAAAATGATCTATCTTTCTTCAACTCGACAATAAAATGAAAGAGGATAAAATAATCAATATCCGAAAAGCGCGCCAGAGGAAACGAGAGGAAGACATTATAACACTTTGTACTATTGTACTAACTGTAAAAAAATGTACTCGTGCGTGATTCGATTCGAAAGCTTTTACATATTTTGATATACACTTAATTCGAACCAAAAAAATGGAGCAAGTGGAGAAATCGGTTTTGTTTGCAATTGTATTTAAAATATACTTTTAAAACTAGGGGCGGAATGTTGAATGTTGGTTTAATCTTTATTCTGCCTTTTTTTCAACTTTCTTCTATATTTCATTCACTAATTACCAAAGTCACTACATAATATATGTCTCTGAAATACACAAATTGAAACAGAAAACTATATCAATTAGGCATTCCAGGTCACGTGACTTTGACAAGGTCCGCCATATTAGCTGAGGGGCAACCAAAGCCTATAGATCATATTGTTTACAGTGATTTTTGATTTTGTGCTTCGGAATTTTTGCGTTTTTTGATTTGTTCAATAAATTTCAAGTTGTTTTTAGTTTTTGTGAATGAATAGAATGAATGAATGAATCTTTATTTACAGACATGCCACTTTACATTTCAATTCAACAATAGTAAACAAACAATCTATTAACAAAAATAATGCTTAAGAATCTAAATTGTTTAAAAAATAAAATAGTTTGATACAAACAACCTTACAAATAAACTTTAGCAAAATAAATTTGTGGTAGAATGACTCCTCAAACGTTTTGACTGTTCTGATCGGTGCGCAGATCTGGCATGTAGCTTACTGGCTTGTTCATTCTGGGCTTTTATCAATTTTCGTAGTAGGTATATTCTAAATTTGTACTGGGGACCCAATCCGGATTGTTTGTATCCTCAAATTCTACCTACCTAAAAGGCATTAAAAATCACCTACTTGTAGAAACATAAACAAATTTTTTGATATAGGTACCTAGATGATGTGTTTTTGTATTTTAACAACAAGATAGTCATAAAACTTACCATTAACAAAATGTTTCGAACAAATTCGAGCATTTTCAACAACGTTTCAGTCAAATCTCCCCTTTTGAGGCATTTAATCCACATACTTCGTTGTTTTTTTGATGACTCGTTTATGCGATCCCTCCTCGATCTTTAAATGCTGCTGGAATCCAAAAAAACCTCACCTTATCCCTTTCAGCTCTATTGGAGCACCCAAAAACGTTACAAAACGAAGGCATCTTCACAAAATAATAGTTCAAAAATTGTCGGTTTGCATTGAAAATAACACTAAATCAGGATATGTTTGGCTTGTGTCTGCCCCTCAGCTAAAATGGCGGATCGATTATGACGTCAACCTGGAATGCCTAATAGATTAAGATTAGGCACCTAACCTACATATTTTAGTGATTTGATGTTCCACTCTTGTTTTTATGATTGGTGTTAATGTAGTTTGTATTTTATAATCTGTTTGTCATTTATCTTATTGTGTATTTGATTTTTTTTCAACATTTTATTCTTAGACTAATTTTTTGTAAAATTGGGAATTTCCCGTTGATGAATGAATAAATATATTTTCCATTCCCACGTTTTTAAAGTTATCTTGAGAGGTATCCTCATCCTCACGATTCGGGACACAAAATGTTAAGCTTGTGTGGTAGAAATACTCTATTAAATACAACGGCAAAGAAAACTATAGAAACTCTTCAGACAATTAATCTAGAAAACATAATTTCTGTTTCCTTTCTGAAACATTAATGATGGTATATAACAGTCTGGCTCAGCTAGTTGAAACATAACATTATTATTGTTCCAAATGTAGGTAGGTACTAGACATTTCATTTGCAATTTTGTCCAAAAATTTTTCGAATTTGAATTTCGAACATTGTTCCGGATTTCAAACTGGGCTGCTTATTATAAGTTTGAGTTGAGTTAGTTTGGATAAAATACCTCATAACTGTGACTTAAGTCGTAGTTGAGTAAGTAGCCTACGATAAATAGAATATTTATTGTTATTAATAATATTAATCGCTATTGCTTTGAAAAATTAAGTGCTCAAAAATGCGTTATCAAACATAATATAGCTGTACTAGAAAATGTACAAATATCTCGCGGGCGTCAACTGCTAAATTTTGTAAGTGCACCGTACATTATTACATAAACAGAAAACAGAAGCCTGCCTGACATTAGATCACAATTTAGGTTCCCAGAAGCGTGTGTGGGACACTTGATATTTTAACATAATTTTTATTATTGTTTGTCACTAGTTGGCACCAACATGACTAAAGATTTTTAGCATTTTAATTGCTAATAAAAAAATTCACAATGCATGCTAGAATTGCGAATCGACATCGTCTTTGATGAGTTGTGATTATAATAATAATTAAAAAGTCCTAAAAACATGAATTTGCTAAGGCTAACATGAAGCGTCATTTTATCACAATAATTTGTTTATTATTGGTTGGTTTATCTGAAGAAGTGGGTAAGTTTTATCTATTTAACATTTATTTAGTTCATGGATTTTAAATAAATAATATTATTTTTATTTGAATGCCTTGCAATATTATCTCGTTCGAAAAAAAAATTGTTGGATAGGTATGATTTACTTCTTCTTACTACAGAATTTTATTTTTATATATACAGGGTGTCACTTTAAAAACTTACAATGGCTATATAGGTATAGGTATATCTCAAGAACCAAAAAAATATATAAAAAATCGCTGCAATTTCTATAGTAAGAAGTGGGAGCCAAAATTATGTAATAACTAACTTGTTTTCACTCACCTCCTCACCCCCAGCCACCCCAACTAAATAATCTTAAATGTGATACCTTATCTGAAAGCCCTTAAAAAAATGTGTTCCAATGGTACCGTACAAAGCTAAATTCGATGAAATAGTTTTTGGTTTATTAGATACCATTAGATAAATTAGATTAAAAAACATAACAAAAACATTAGATAAAACATTATTAATTTAATAAATGTTCAAAATGATTTCCATTATTTTCAAGACAATGATAGAATCTATTTTCAAACTCTTGACGTAGGTACATTTGCAAATGTTTCTCTGGAAATAGCTCGGCATTCTTGAACTATTCTTTCCTGGAGTTGCCCTATTGAGTCAGGTAGGTGATCCCATAGGAAGAAATCAAGAGGAGTTAGATCCGGGGATCTGGGAGGCCATTCAATGGGACCTTTTCTTCCAATCCAGTGATTAGGATATTATTCATGTAACCAATCCCTTACTGGAACTAGGTAATGAGCAGGTCCTCCATCCCGTTGAAAATGTAATAAATTCGCTTGTAAAGATAAATTGCCGTAAACATCTATCTGATTTTCTAACTCATGGAATATCCGAGGCTCGATAGACCTCTGTAGCATGTCAGCATAAATTTCGCCATTAAAATTTTTCTCCTCGCCCCTCCAAGTTTCTAAAATATATCGAAAGTTGTGAAAACTTGGATAAAAAATTTAAAGTTGGGAGAAATTGGTAGACAAAAATTTGCGCACCTGGAATAATTAAAATTAACATTAGGATCATGTCACGTGTCGTGATTCGTAATGAATTGCAAAATCACCGGACAACAGGATGACGAAATCCCAATGGTCGCGGCCATCTCTTGACGAAATCGTTTTTATTTTTTTCTCACTTTATTTGAAAGATATCGCAAAATAAACTCCACATTCTCATTGCCACTTTTTCTCCACTACATGATGATGCTATTAAATTTTTGATCAGATGTTTCGTTTCTTCGCGATCATCATTAACTTTGTTTATTCAAATGGTCGAATTTTTTTTATTTTATGCCCAATAAACTCTACTTTTTATTCTAAATCCAACGACATATCAAGCTCATAATTCCAGGAATATTAATTTCTACTAGTGGTCCCATCAACGAGCCTCCGCGATCTCCAGTCATTACACCGATGGATTTTGTCTTTTGAGGATTTCTTAAGAATGAAGTTAATTGACTTTTCAGAATCCATCAGTGTAATGTCTGGAGATCGCGGAGACCCGTTAATGGGACCACTAGTTGAAATTAATATCCCTGGGATTATGAGCTTGATGTGTCATTGGATTTAGAAGAAAAAGTAGAGTTTATTAGGCATAAAATAAAAAACTCGACCATTTGAAAAAACAAACTTGATGATGATCGCGAAGAAACGAAACGTCTGATCAAAAATCTAATAACATTCTCATGTAGTGGAGGAAAAGTAGTAATGAGAATGTGAAGTTTATTGTGCGATATCATTTCAAATAAAGTCAGAAAAAAATAAAAACGATTTCGGCAAAATTCGGTTTTTCATAGATATCTTCGGAATATGTAATTCGGAATGTACGAAATATCAAAACATGACGCCATTGAGCTCACTAATGCGCAACTCATTCCAAATTTAAGCAACCCAGTATCTCTTATGGTCTTTACGTTTCCGGTAATAAAGAAACCGTTTTTAAAAAAATAACTTTAATTTAAAAATTACAACTTCAAAAATAATAAAGCAAAAGTACTTGTGAACAGCTCAAAGTCTATGTCTAATCTGAAAGTTAAAAGTTTATTCGCATGGGGCATCCTGGTTTCAAGCTTACACAGTTTTCAAGAAACTGCTTAGGTCGGCGATGCAATGGTCAGCATGTTCCCACGAATGGCACACATAACTCCTCCATCCCTAGAAGGAACTCGAGGGTGGAATCACTCGTGTTTCGTCAATGGTCTCAGTAGCGGGAGGTTTTCTCAGGATTCTTGAAATTTTCATCTTGTTGTTTTTGATTGCGAAATATATGCCGCAAATCAATATTGCAGTTATTAGGATCCATGGAAGCCAATTCATGTATGTACTTTGGTGAATTTTGATGAATTCTAGAAAATCTTCTGTTGAACTCCGAAGTTGAAGTTCATGTAGCTTGTCCAAAGGGATTTTCTCTAATTTGATCTTCTCGGTCTTTGACACTGGAATTTAAACTGATTTTATTTCGTTGACGGTGACTGGATGACCGTGAAATATGTCCTTTTCATTTTTGTAGACATATTTAGGCATTTTTATTGAACATTTTGGCGGGACTGTGAAAAGGCGGGTTCCTGTTATTGAAGTTACTTCGCTTTCTACACAGTCTGTTTGAATTCTTTGTTCTTTCGGAAAGATTCCAATATAGTGGGCGGAATCGATTTCTTCCATCATGGCTTTTTGGATATGTACTGGTACTTGTTGACATTGGTCCAAATTGTTGTTTAATGTCAGCAGTGACGTGATACAATCAGGGTTTTCGTGTATAGGTAGAAGTCGATTGTGTTTGCAGAAATAGTTTGGCTTGAGGTCAATGCATTCTTCATTTTGGTATTGGTAAAGGTCCGTACTTAGGGTGAGGTAGGTCGAAGGTGGTATTATGATGGATTGATTCTTATTAGGTACGGAGAAGAGGTGGTAATAATCGAAAATATTTGAGTGCACAAGAGGGAAATCCAGTGAAAACACGATTTTATTTTCTATCGCAAAAACATTTGTTTCTATGACTTCGTAATAATTCATGTATTCGTTTTGTGAAAATAACAATTGTGCGTGGTGGTGAGAATTATGAAATTCTTTGACGATTTCTTTTAATTCTTTTTGTGGAATTATGCTATGATGTAAGGTTTTTAAACTAGCAAAACTTATGGCATTTTCTATATCGTTTAGAAAATTAAGCACAGAGTCCAAATTTAACTTAATTTGGTCCATTATTTCGTGAATTTCTAGGTAATGCACGTAATTGGATTTTGTTTGTTGTAAATCACTAGCAATGTCATTAATTTTATTTTCGATTGCTTTTTGATTTTTCGAAACTACACTCATTGTTTGATTGATACTTGTCATTAGGTTAGAGGTTAAAGATATTTGTTTATTTACTTTTTCAATTATTTTGTTTTGTTTACTTTCGAGTTCCAGAATATTATCATGTATTTCCTTTGCGTCTTCTTGGTCCAGATTACCAGTAATGTATTCCACTAGTGAGCCTAAAGGGTGAATTAAGCCTCTTTTTGATCTATGTCCTGGACTGATTGATTTTAATTTCTGATTGACTACGTTTACTTCGTAGCTTAAGTGTTTATAAGTTTCAAGTAACGGAAGTCTGTGCGCAATTAAAGAGGAATTAATGATGTTTTCTAGCTTTTCATATTGATAGGTTATAGAATCAATTTGCTTTTGCAAAGATGTCAAATCGATGTAATGTAAGAATGTGTGGGTGGCTATTTTCATCTTGGCAGTTCCTAGTTTGAAGGGAAGTATGCCAGGATTGTTGTCAAGATTCTGTATCTGAACTTTCTGTGCCCTCGTCAGGTGAAGTAGTGTCATCAACCTGTAAAAGGGTTTGGTCAGTAAATTTTCGTGGATTTTTGAATATTTGTTTGTGATAAGTATTTTGGGTGGTAGTGACAGTTAAGTCATTACTTTGTAAGACGTGTTCTGGTTTATACAGTGAGGACATAAAGTCCGTCGCCCCCCTCTAACTTTTGAACCGCTCGGTATATTGCAACGAAATTTGGAATGATGATATGTGAATAGATTCTCCATTTTTTGGAAAACAAATGACAGCTTCAGCTGTCAAAATGACAGCTAGGCGCAGTTTTGATACGTTTTTTTAAATAGAAGGCGGTGTCGAATGATATATCGTTTTGAAGGTCTCTTCATTCTAAATTTAATCCCTGATTCTGAAAACATTTGGTTTAGCGGTTTTCAAACTATGACGAAAAAACCAAAGCTTGTTTTGCTCATAAACACTCATAAAAAAAAAAAAAAAATATTTTTTATCGGTTTTTTATTCATTATTTAAGTTACCAATGTCATGACGTCATTATTATTACTGAAAAAAAGACAATAATGAATAAAAAAGCGATAATTTTTTATTTTTTTTTTCATGAGTGTTTATGAGCAAAACAAGCCTTTGTTTTTTCGTCATCATTTGAAAACCGCTAAACCAAATGTTTTCAGAATCAGGGATCAAATTAAGAATAAAGAAACCTTTAAAACGATATATCATTCGACACCGCCTTCTATTTAAAAAAACGTTCCAAAACTGCACCTAGCTGTCATTTTGACAGCTGAAGCTGTCATTTAATTTTCAAAACATGGAGAATCTAGTCACATATCATCATTCAAAATTTCGTTGCAATATACCGGGCGGTTCAAAAGTTAGAGGGGGGCGACGGACTTTATGTCCTCACTGTATAAAGGATTTGTCTTGCCCTGGCGGTCGGTTAGTTTTTTATAACCTATTGTTCCGGGTTGAATTTCGACAGGGTCTTTTCGTTGGCTTTAGAAATTACTTTTTCTTTATGCTCGGTCATTTTATTATGAATGTTTTTATAAATATCTGAGATTATCTCTTTATGGTTATTCAGTTCGTGATTAATTAATTGGGTATCGTTATCAATATCGATTGGTTCCTTTAATTGGAGGTGACCAAAAATTAAATCGATTGGTTTCTGGTTTGTTGCTGAATGGATTG